TTCTGCCACGGGAAAAGAAAAAAAAAAAAAAAAATATATATATATATATATAAAATAATAATTTTGACTTTGTATCTCACAATTCAAAGTTTTTTTTCTTGCATTTATGAGTTTATATCTCACAATTCTGTCTTTTTTTCCTCACAATTCTGATGTAAACTCGCAATCACAAGATATAAACTTAGAATTCTAAGAAGCGGGAAATGTGATTAATTGCAATTGCGAGTTAGCGTCTCAGAATTCTGACTTTTTTTCAGAATTGCAAGGTTATATCTTGCAATTCTGACTTTAGCAATGGAATTGCAAGAAAAAAGTCAGTATTATAGCAGATGCAAACTCAAAAAAAGAAAAAAAAGAAATTGAATCCCGCAATTCAATTCGAAAAGTCGCAATTACCTTTTTCATTTTTTTTATCCCGTGGCGGAAATGGGCTTCCATAATATATATTCACATCAAATGACTGAAAAGCTTACATCAAAATTTCAGTACTACATATTTCTAGAACTTCTTTCTTAAATGTCACTGCGCTTGTCATTAATTTGGTATTGTTTTGTAAGATAGATTATATTTGTAAAATTGATTTCTTTCTGTGATCAGGAGTTCCCGAGTGTGTCTAAGCTGGATAGCGGTTCATATTTATGTGAGGCCAGTAATGGAGAAGGTGCTCCTCAGCGTGGAGATGCAGTGCACATGGAAGTCCGTAAGTCAGGGTTCTTACACAGTATGCAATTTGATTTTTAGTATTTTAAGGGTCTGGATAACCATGGGGAAAAGAACAGAGTATGGAAAAATGTTTGTGTTTTCAGACTATTGCTGTTACTATTCTGTTTTCTTAAATAAAAAATGTAAGAATGAAGAGAGTTCTGTGAAGTGCGTTGACAGTTTCAGTTTACAACATGTTTTTGAAGTGTTAAGCATTGTAGCCAATCACAGATATGTCTGTTGAGTGTGTGAACACAATGGCCAGTCAGACATGTAGTTAGAGAGAATCCACTCAATACAACTTGAAGCACTGGAGTTTTTATTTAGCACTATGGTACCAATAACCGAGAAATTTTACTGGTATTGGTACCTACTACTGAAATTTTGTTACTGTGAAAAAACTAGCTTCTAGTATTTTGAGAGTATCAAATTGTGAATCAGTGCTAATTTTGACAGCGAATTTTGATTTAGTTTTAGTCATAGTCTTCTGACTAAAATGCCATTTAGTTTTAGTCATATTTTAGTCATCTGAATTGTTTTTAGTTTTAGTCGACTAAATATCATAAGATTTTAGTCGACTAAATCTACAGTAAATTTAGTTGGCTAAAATCTAATGGGTTTAGTTACAGTGCATTTATTAAGCATTTCTCTAAAATGTCCAAACTCATTATATAGGTTTGATATTAAGGTTTTATCACGATAGACACCGATTTGACTGCGGTGACACACAACATGCCTTTGTTAAAATGAAATAAAACCACTTCTCATAAAAAGCAAGAACATGGTCTTCTTTTTAATGAAATACAATTTATTAAAAAAGCAACATTTTGACATTTTTTGATGACCTCCTAAAGAGAGAGAACCAAGTATGATTTTTGATATTTCTGGTATTTGCTTCTCTAACAGATGTCTTGATTGACTTGAATTAATTTGTTGTCTTTTTTTTATTTGTTATAGGTGATCTGAATGTTGGTGGTATTGTTGCGGGGGTTATTGTGGCTTTGCTGGCAGTGGGATTGCTCCTCTTTGGTCTCTGGTTTGCCAGTAAAAAGGGATATCTGCCAAGTAAGTTCTCACTGCGTGTGTGTGTGTGTGAGAGAGCGAGAGAGAGAGAGAGAGGTAGATTAGAAACTCAAAATGATTTGACTTATTTGCTTTTTTCTTTAATTTTCCACAGAAAAAGCAGAAAGGTAAGAGTTTTGTTTTGTTATCTATGGCACATACAACCTCATATCTGACATATGATGCTACTAAAAATGTTCTAGAATGTAATAAAAATATAAATAAATTATCTCTTGCAGCAAGCCGAAACAACAAGCTGTTTATACACAGCCTAGAGCAGATGATATGGATGATGGGGATGTAAGTACAACACATCTTGCTCAGTTGTATAAATGATATTAATCAGGAATTCTCTTTGCAATAGTTGATTTTGAATGTCCTTTTCTACCACCAGAATAGTGGTACTGGTAACATAATTATATTTGCACTGTTTTATGTGTCTTTTTCAGGGGGAATTCAGACAGAAATCATCTTTTGTTGTGTAGTCTGTGCTACTCTGGATGTCAAGATTCGGTGCCTAGATCAACTGTTTTCTGTTTGAGTTCATACAAATCAGGATCAATGTGTATGTGATGAGATGTGCCTCCCTGCCCAGCTTACCACACTAGTTGACCATAGAAATGTCCAAAAGCTTTAAAGCAACTATTGTAAATGTGTGTGAGAATGCAGATTTAGTTTTAGGAATCTAAATCCTGTCTCTGTTTTGTAGAAATGAATAGAAATGTAATTTATTGAACTATGATTAATCTGTGAGTGGAACACAAACCTAAAGGGTTTAAGATCAATTCTTTATTAATAGAATTTGCTCAGATTATAAGCAGTTGTTTAGTCTTGTATGGACTGAGATGTCCAATGCTATTTTTACAGGACTCTGCACTATGAGATGGAAACTTCTTGGGGAAGAGAAGGTACTATGAATGTTCCCCATTCAGGAAATAATGTTCCCTCTCCTTTATATAAACATTTGCTGTACAATGTAGTCATTGATATGTTGTTTGTTTACTTCACTGGCATTTTTATGATAGTGTACCTTGTGTGTGTTTTTGTGTTTTATACTTCATGAAATGTAAATAGATTGTTCTGTCTTTTTATTGGATTTTTTTAGGATTTAAAATCATGCTTCATTTACCTCTCTGAATTATTAATCTGGGAACAAATTACTAAACTTCTTTTTTTTCCTTTTGCTTGATTTAAATTTTAACATGTGACTTGATCCCATTCTTCCAATAAATGAAATCCACTGAATATGACTTAATAAATAAGATGTTGACATTACTCTTTTTTTTTTTCTCTCTTTCATGCAAAAAAAAAAACAATTGTGAATGTTAAATTAAGCAATGTTATCTGTGGTTGTCTCAGCTGAACATTATGACTCTGATTCCGGGAAATCTCACTTTTCACGCTGGATGACATTAGGAATGTGTATTTATTTCACATTATTTCTAAACGCGTTTACATCATTTGAGGTGAACCACAATGTTCTGAATATGACCGCTAGGAGGCAGTGTAGGACAACAACTCTTGCACAGCTTTGCACACTGCCGAAATTGACTTGAAATGGTCATGGATCTAGGAGGCTCAACAGGATGTCTAACATAAAATTAAATAAAGTGTTTTGATTGTATTGATGATTTTAATAGGCTGATTTTTCTTCCAGAAAAGATTTAGATAATTACATTTGAAGTGTGTAATTTCAGTGCCACTAGGTCAGCAAAAATAGTTGTTTTCAGACAGGTTTTCTGCTCTTTGGTCAGATAAACAGTCCCGCTCAAAATTCAAAATTACTAAGTTTAATTGTCTCAGTATTAATATGACATAAGATATTAGTATTATAACAAAATATTAGCAAACTGTACACAGGCTCAGATTTTTTTATATATATAATAGAATAAAGCAGTAACTATCAGAACATAAAGAGCATGTCAGCTATAATTAATACATTATTTGCACAAGGCAGCTTTTATTACAGTTCATTCACCTATTTACAGAATGCATGAATTTTCAAGATTTGACTTTTTTGGGCTGGCCCAAAGTTGCTTATAAGTTGCTTATCCTCCACATGATGCGTTCTACGTTCTACCTGCGCACAGTTACATAAGAACGTTCGACTGAATGTGAGCAAACGTCAGTGACGATGACGCTTCTCACTGAACCGCGCTGCCTGCCATTCGAGCGCATCTGCTCTACGTCACCTTTCAAAACTGCGACTTTAAGGGCGATGGCGACTGGGCGGGACCCGTCTGCTGATAGGCTGCTTCCCCTTTCAGTCAAGACCCATTCATAAATAAGACATGTCTAGGAGGAACCGATGTAACATATATTGACAGGTTTCGCTCGAGACGCGCCTGCTAAATATTTCTAACTACACACCGAGCCGCGAGTGGCTCCGGCGAATTATATTTCTTCCCGTGGCGGACAGCGACAGCGGTGGTTGTCGATACGCGAAGCAAAAGAGACTGACTTCCGACTGGTGACCCCTTTCTCAAACTGTAATGACATGAGCGCTCCAGCAGGAAGCTCAAATCATTTTGTGTCTTTAGAAACATTGTAGCGCGTCCGCCAAGATTTCTGTCTGTCCGACTGTGGGGAATAATGGAGCGTTTTTGAACCAGCCTTTAACGCAGATATTGTAGCGCTTGATTCGATGTTTTAAGTGTGTGTCGTGTCTGTCCATTTGGACGCATAAAAAGTAAGCAAATCGCTGTTCTGAAGCCAAATTGTTAAAATGAAATAAAACCACTTCTCATAAAGAACAAGAACATGGTCTTCTTTTTAATGAAATACAATTTATTAAAAAAGCAACATTTTGACATTTTTTGATGACCTCCTAAAGAGAGAGAACCAAGTATGATTTTTGATATTTCTGGTATTTGCTTCTCTAACAGATGTCTTGATTGACTTGAATTAATTTGTTGTCTTTTTTTTATTTGTTATAGGTGATCTGAATGTTGGTGGTATTGTTGCGGGGGTTATTGTGGCTTTGCTGGCAGTGGGATTGCTCCTCTTTGGTCTCTGGTTTGCCAGTAAAAAGGGATATCTGCCAAGTAAGTTCTCACTGCGTGTGTGTGTGTGTGAGAGAGCGAGAGAGAGAGAGAGAGGTAGATTAGAAACTCAAAATGATTTGACTTATTTGCTTTTTTCTTTAATTTTCCACAGAAAAAGCAGAAAGGTAAGAGTTTTGTTTTGTTATCTATGGCACATACAACCTCATATCTGACATATGATGCTACTAAAAATGTTCTAGAATGTAATAAAAATATAAATAAATTATCTCTTGCAGCAAGCCGAAACAACAAGCTGTTTATACACAGCCTAGAGCAGATGATATGGATGATGGGGATGTAAGTACAACACATCTTGCTCAGTTGTATAAATGATATTAATCAGGAATTCTCTTTGCAATAGTTGATTTTGAATGTCCTTTTCTACCACCAGAATAGTGGTACTGGTAACATAATTATATTTGCACTGTTTTATGTGTCTTTTTCAGGGGGAATTCAGACAGAAATCATCTTTTGTTGTGTAGTCTGTGCTACTCTGGATGTCAAGATTCGGTGCCTAGATCAACTGTTTTCTGTTTGAGTTCATACAAATCAGGATCAATGTGTATGTGATGAGATGTGCCTCCCTGCCCAGCTTACCACACTAGTTGACCATAGAAATGTCCAAAAGCTTTAAAGCAACTATTGTAAATGTGTGTGAGAATGCAGATTTAGTTTTAGGAATCTAAATCCTGTCTCTGTTTTGTAGAAATGAATAGAAATGTAATTTATTGAACTATGATTAATCTGTGAGTGGAACACAAACCTAAAGGGTTTAAGATCAATTCTTTATTAATAGAATTTGCTCAGATTATAAGCAGTTGTTTAGTCTTGTATGGACTGAGATGTCCAATGCTATTTTTACAGGACTCTGCACTATGAGATGGAAACTTCTTGGGGAAGAGAAGGTACTATGAATGTTCCCCATTCAGGAAATAATGTTCCCTCTCCTTTATATAAACATTTGCTGTACAATGTAGTCATTGATATGTTGTTTGTTTACTTCACTGGCATTTTTATGATAGTGTACCTTGTGTGTGTTTTTGTGTTTTATACTTCATGAAATGTAAATAGATTGTTCTGTCTTTTTATTGGATTTTTTTAGGATTTAAAATCATGCTTCATTTACCTCTCTGAATTATTAATCTGGGAACAAATTACTAAACTTCTTTTTTTTCCTTTTGCTTGATTTAAATTTTAACATGTGACTTGATCCCATTCTTCCAATAAATGAAATCCACTGAATATGACTTAATAAATAAGATGTTGACATTACTCTTTTTTTTTTTCTCTCTTTCATGCAAAAAAAAAAACAATTGTGAATGTTAAATTAAGCAATGTTATCTGTGGTTGTCTCAGCTGAACATTATGACTCTGATTCCGGGAAATCTCACTTTTCACGCTGGATGACATTAGGAATGTGTATTTATTTCACATTATTTCTAAACGCGTTTACATCATTTGAGGTGAACCACAATGTTCTGAATATGACCGCTAGGAGGCAGTGTAGGACAACAACTCTTGCACAGCTTTGCACACTGCCGAAATTGACTTGAAATGGTCATGGATCTAGGAGGCTCAACAGGATGTCTAACATAAAATTAAATAAAGTGTTTTGATTGTATTGATGATTTTAATAGGCTGATTTTTCTTCCAGAAAAGATTTAGATAATTACATTTGAAGTGTGTAATTTCAGTGCCACTAGGTCAGCAAAAATAGTTGTTTTCAGACAGGTTTTCTGCTCTTTGGTCAGATAAACAGTCCCGCTCAAAATTCAAAATTACTAAGTTTAATTGTCTCAGTATTAATATGACATAAGATATTAGTATTATAACAAAATATTAGCAAACTGTACACAGGCTCAGATTTTTTTATATATATAATAGAATAAAGCAGTAACTATCAGAACATAAAGAGCATGTCAGCTATAATTAATACATTATTTGCACAAGGCAGCTTTTATTACAGTTCATTCACCTATTTACAGAATGCATGAATTTTCAAGATTTGACTTTTTTGGGCTGGCCCAAAGTTGCTTATAAGTTGCTTATCCTCCACATGATGCGTTCTACGTTCTACCTGCGCACAGTTACATAAGAACGTTCGACTGAATGTGAGCAAACGTCAGTGACGATGACGCTTCTCACTGAACCGCGCTGCCTGCCATTCGAGCGCATCTGCTCTACGTCACCTTTCAAAACTGCGACTTTAAGGGCGATGGCGACTGGGCGGGACCCGTCTGCTGATAGGCTGCTTCCCCTTTCAGTCAAGACCCATTCATAAATAAGACATGTCTAGGAGGAACCGATGTAACATATATTGACAGGTTTCGCTCGAGACGCGCCTGCTAAATATTTCTAACTACACACCGAGCCGCGAGTGGCTCCGGCGAATTATATTTCTTCCCGTGGCGGACAGCGACAGCGGTGGTTGTCGATACGCGAAGCAAAAGAGACTGACTTCCGACTGGTGACCCCTTTCTCAAACTGTAATGACATGAGCGCTCCAGCAGGAAGCTCAAATCATTTTGTGTCTTTAGAAACATTGTAGCGCGTCCGCCAAGATTTCTGTCTGTCCGACTGTGGGGAATAATGGAGCGTTTTTGAACCAGCCTTTAACGCAGATATTGTAGCGCTTGATTCGATGTTTTAAGTGTGTGTCGTGTCTGTCCATTTGGACGCATAAAAAGTAAGCAAATCGCTGTTCTGAAGCCAAATGGAAAGCTGAACCATGGCAGCAAAAGAGGACCTATATGCCAAAGTCGCTCCACGGATGCAGCGGCAGAACCGGCCAGGAGCTGTCAAACATGGAAACCGTCTGGATGTTTTGCTGTCAATGGGTTTCCCTAAAACCAGGGCGTAAGTACCAGAGTTTCATCTCTCCCAGATCTCAAGCATCACGCAGCTGCAGTCACAGCTGTAAACATTAGGAACATAAACACATGTGATAAGAGCACTGCCAAACCCCTCGGAAACACGGCAGATATTTAAAACAAGTTGCCTTTGTAATGGCGTCTGTCTGGTTGTGCTATTGATTAACACGACGAAATGGGCTCATCGCCGATGGGATACTGAGTATAAAGTTGATTTCCTGTTGCCTCATTAAGCCGTTTTCTTATAAACTGGTCTTACATGTTCTGGGCTGCATCTGTCCAGACAGGACATGTTCCTGCTACTCGAGCGGATGAGGTTGGCACCGCTGGGAGGTCAGATCACCGCTGTCCATCGTATTGGCGCATCATAACTGCTGCCTGTTATTTTTACAGTTATTTTCCTGGCGTCATGGCACTTGAACATGCACTGGGCTGGGAGTCGTGAGGAATCTAACAATTCTATGAACTATTTTTCAGTCCCTTTATCAAATCAGAAATAAATGTAGTGCAGTTCTAACAGATGGTGTGTTTGCACAGACTTTCAATTGCTTTTCACAGAGCTGTTGTTTGGCGTACATGCAGTTTAATAACTGTTCCTAACTGTTATATAACATATCTAAACAAGCCAAACTTAAAATAACATATGGTAACATTTTACATTAAGGCCCCATTAGTTAACGTTAGTCAACACATTAACTTAAATGAACCAACAATTAGCAATTCATTTGATACAGTATTTATTAATCTTTATCAGCATTAGTTAATAAAATACAGTGGTTGATTGTTCAGGTATATCAAATAATGTTAAAAGATACAACTTTTGATTTTAATAATGTATTAGTAATTTTAGGCAATTTTATATATATAGTACATTTCATACACATACGTAATTCAAAGTGCTTTACATAAAAATAAATTAAAATGATCATAAAATAATCACAGTAGTAAATGTACATGTTGAAATTAACTAAGTTTAATAAATATAAGAATTATTTTTCATTGTAAGTTTTTGTTAACTAATGTAATTAACCAATGTTAACAAGTGGAACCTTACTGGACCTTAAGTGAACCTTTGTGTTACCACATTTATTTATTTGCTAATTTGTTTATTTTATAAACTACCATCGGTCACAACAAAAGCCTTAAATGTGCAGTGATTTTTTGATAAAAAATGGAACTGTTGAGAAATATTAAAATGATTTACACTAACATAAAATAAAGAATAGACATCAGTCTTCTAGAAAAGCAGTTTTATTGTACGTGGAGCGGGTTGCTCACTAATGGGTGCCACTATTGCATTACATTATATGACTAACCTTGTCATGTAGTTGCCAGTTGACAAATAGTAACAATAATAATATACTTACCTTTATAGCACTTTAAGCAATTGCTCAAGAACGAGCTGCCTAAACGTAAAGAAAAAGTTTATGAACCTTTAAACGTTACGTGAATGTAAAAAGAACCAGTAATTTATTCGGCAAATGTACCGAACTTGTGCTATGTTTGATATGGTAGGCATTGCAGAGCCGCAGAATAGCGATGCAGGAAACACTTTCAGAGACATTTTGGTGTTTCAGTAAGCTATTGGCATAAGAATGCACAGTATGCAAGTCATTCTGCTCCAGTATTATATATTTTTTTTATTGGAATTGGTTTTGAAAGAGATCAATACAATTAGTACAGTTCAGCTCTTTACAAAAAGTGATGTCATACCATACGTGGCACCATACCACTTTTCGATACAGTGAGTGTCTTGAGTTAGCAGTTGCCAAAGCTGAACATCTGTGCTTTCCATCATTGTACTACACTGAGGAGGACGGTTGGAGTAAGGTATCTCCAACCAACCATGAAGGCTGCATTAGGTTGCTGTCAGTGAGATGCTAGATTCTCATTCATCACAATTACATTTCATCTCTGCCTCTTTTAACCACACACATTTTCTCTCTCCTGCTCTGTCTGGGTCCCTCACTCCCTCACTGTCTTTACTTTTCGCTTGGACTTAATCCTGCAGTTTCCATAATCTGTGCGGAATCCTCCTTGCCTCTGTGTTATTACGGTTTTGTGTCAAGATTGGGATTGTACAGGCCAAATGTTGCCATTCATGTTTAATCCACGGAGAGTGAACAAACGTGATTGGGACAAAATGTCTTTATTGTGTGTTGTGAGTGAATCCAATCTTGGGTTTGATGCAGATCAAGGCTTTGTCCCTGTGGATGCCGTTGATCTTGTTCGTGAATGTGGTCAGTGGATTAAGCTGGTCATCGTACTTGACATGAGAATTCTAAACATTTGGCCTAATATTTGTCATTTGCTGACATCCGAAGCAGTGGCATGCTAGCTTTCTTTGGTTAGTCTGCCTGCTTCTGACAGCATTTAAGAGTTTGCTTAAGTGTTAGACATCAAGTAGTATGCATATGGGTGGTTGGTATAACATGCTTTTAAATGTGATGAGTGCTATATATAGATTAAACCAGTGTTTCCCAACAGGGGTGCCCTCTGTCGAGAGCAGGGGTGCCGTGTAAAAAAATCCTTTTTTAATATTTTTAAATTGCTAAAATATTCAATAAAGCATCTATTATATAATATCCATTTCTGATTTCGCCAATAATTAGAGATGCACCGAAAGTTCGGCTGCCGAAAATTAGTTCACCGCTCAGGTTTCACTTTCACGTGTGACGCTCTATGCATGTGCGCTCCGCTCAGTCGCTCCACTCGTATACCGTTCATGCGAATCGGAACAGCAAAGTCCACTCAAAAATTGAGCCGACAGGAAACATCGATGTAGTACAGTATTGTTTCTGTCTGCAATAGCCCTACTGTGTTGTAACATGGTGTGGTATATGGGCAACTCTGGTAACGCTGCCCTCTCATTCATTGATCTGCTAACCGCTATGTTTTGCTCGCGTGTTCTGATAATAATAGCTTTCTAGGACTAAACATTATTTGGATAATTGGT